GTTCTTGACCCAGATAGTGTTGACTAGACGAGCACGAAAACACCTCAGAAACACTGCCACTAGTACGTGTGACGTGTGTAGAATTTTGTTGAAAGCCCAGATAAAAGTAAAAAGCTACTATTTTGTGTTTATCCATGGCAGTTCGACTTCACACGCGCGCGCTCTGAGCCAGTGGACGCGCACTGTTATGAATGCACAATGTTTCGACTTTAATCTCGAAACATTTCGACTTTAATCTCGAAACATTCCGACTTTAATCTCGAAACATTCCGACTTTAATCTCGAAACATTCCGACTTTAATCTCGAAACATTTCGACTTTAATCTCGAAACATTCCGACTTTAATCTCGAAACATTTCGACTTTAATCTCGAAACATTTCGACTTTAATCTCGAAATGCTAGATTTTTTTTTTTTTTTTTACAGATTTTTTTTTTTTACAGAATTTTTTTTTTTTACTGATTTTTTTTTAGGTTGCGGTTCAGGGCTTCCGTATGTTTCTGAGGTGTTTTCGTGATCGTCTAGTCAACACTATCTGGGTCGAGAACACAACAGGAACCGTTCGGTCTTCACCATATACGCTCTGGATACATTTTAAGTGCATCATTCTGTATCCAATCATTTGGCCGGATCCTGTGATTTTCTAAGATTTAATAACCACTAATGGTTGAGGAGAGATTCTCTGATATGATTGTAAAGCACTTTAAGTGTAGGCATATATGAAAGCGCTATATAAATGCCTATTCATTCATTCATTCGTTCATTCATAAAGCTGGATTTCTCCATCCAGCACGAAAACACCTCAGAAACACTGCCACTAGCACATGTGACGTGTGTAGAATTTTGTTGAAAGCCCAGATAAAAGTAAAAAGCTACTATTTTGTGTTTATCCATGGCAGTTCGACTTCACACACACACACACACACACCCGCGCGCTCTGAGCCAGTGGACGCGCACTGTTATGAATGCACAATGTTTCGACTTTAATCTCGAAACATTTCGACTTTAATCTTGAAACATTTCGACTTTAATCTCGAAACATTTCGACTTTAATCTCGATATGCTAGATTTTTTTTTTTAAGATTTTTTTTTTTACTGACTTTTTTTTTTTTTTTTTAGGTTGCGGTTCAGGGCTTCCGTAATCATCACACTAGTAACTGTGCGATACACTTACACTGAGGAGAAATAATATTTAGGGCCCGAGCACCGATGGTGTGAGGACCCTCTTGGAATTGCTCTGTCATTCCAAAATGAATCGCATTTTTGAGGACCTAAACATGCACGAAAACTCACGAAAATTTGCACACACGTCAGAACTGGAGAAAATTTACATCTGATATGTGTTTCATAATTGGGCGGGGCAAAATGGCTCGATAGCGCCACCTATAAAAGTTCACCGGAGTGCGCCGTACTTTTTCATTATTATTATTATATCACTTTAATGTTTAACTATGTAAGACTTTATGAATAAATACTTAAAATAATTAAAATAATTCAATAATTTAAAATATCGTCATTAACATAAATCATTATGTGTATGGTCACCCTTTACATCTGTCTTTGGGTTTTGCAAATATTTAACCAATGAGAAGTATTAAAAAGAGCTAATCTCGTAACTCCATTGAATCCCCAAACTGTCAGTCAAAGCTCATAACTCTGCCCCTGCAGCTCTCTTGTGATTAAAGTAGGTCATTTACCTCCACACCTCCGAGCGTCTGTGCTTTTTTATGATGCAAGGGTAAAAAAAGAACTGATTCCTTAGAAACGTTGTATAAATATGCTAAAGGATCATTTTATATGTATTTAAGGAGCGGATAAGAGCGTATAAGAGCTTGTATATTCCATCAAGTCATAGCCAAAATATGTGTAGCGCATAATGTGAGATTTTTGGTCAAAAGACAGAAAATAGCTGTAGCTACATATATTTATATATTTACACACACACACACACACACACACACACACACACACACACACACACACACACACACACACACACACACACACATAGCAACAGCAACAATAATCTTCATAACCTTTAGAACCAGAAAGACACGACATTCACTGGACAAAAACCTAAATGAATTTGAGCTTGATTTTGGTAAAGTTACCAAAATAATATAATGACACATGCAAGAATATCACATAAAGCCACAATATCAAGTTTGACATCACTGTGTATAATTAATAGCATTAAAATAAACAGACAAGTTCAATCCACTCAGCTCAATCCAGACGGTTATTGTCATGCTGATCCGCTGGGGAGACCGCACTGTGGTTGATCCCTGCCCACATAGCAACAATGTTTCGGCCTGTGGGATGCGGATCTGGCCCATATGCAGCAATGACTGACGGCCCTTGGGTGGCCCACTCCTGTTTGCCAGATCTGGGCCACAATTGGGATTTTGATTGGGATTTCACTTTTTTTCTTTTAAATAGTGTGTACACTTGTAACCATACATCCAATACTTAGGTTCAAAATATATATGTATGTGTAAGTGTCCCCAATCCAAGACTTAAGTTGTTTTTTAAAAGAGGAGAGACTATTACACTCCCTTAACTCATTGGGCAAACTATTCCAGAAAATTGTGGCTCTGATAGAGAAGACTGCATTTCCAATCCTGCTTTGTCTATATTGAACTATGCAGTCGCCTCTGGAGGTTGCTCTAGTTACTTTATTGGCCTTATCTTTCTGTTTTATGAATTGGCACAGTGGTGGTGGAGCAAGCCCACGGAGTACCTTAAAAACAAGACAGGCGTCAGCAAAATGTATACAATTTTCAAAGCTGAACATATTGTGTTTTTTTGATTATATGACAATTATGGTAACTATTTCCCTTACGGTCCAAAGTCTTTATAGTGATAAATATAATATTGTGACCAAAATGATCACATACAACCACACATAGTCAACCGGTTGTTCAAATGACAGGGGAGAACGCGGCTTACAACAAAGGTGAAATTTATGAAAAATAAGACTTTCTAAAAAAGAAAAACCACGAATACATGTTATATTACACCTCATAAACACAATCATGCAAAGAAAAAAAATCAGTAAACCACCTCTTTAACTTTGGATTTTGTCTGGCAGTTGAATCTGCCAGATACATAAAAACAAAAAGTGATGGAATGGTGTTGGTTATATTAAGAAACTCATCATTTAAACTTTATGTTTGTGATTTATGCTGTTGGTTACACCAACTGAGCTTCTGCATAAATATCCAGAATTTTGGATATAATATAACGCATTTCTTAAAAGTTGTTTTAAAGGAAAATCTTTCTTTAAGGCACACACAGACCTCAAGATTCAGTCAATGCTTCTCAACAACGGTGATGAGCAGAATATTCAATTAGGAAAAGTAAATTACATAGACAATTCAGATCATAATTTATTCATACCGCAATGCATGATGGGAGCCATTAATGAGTTGTGATTGGTGGCAGCCACTGCAACATGCATTATTATTGTCACCACTGTTGAGATTCACAGGCTGATTATTTATGTCAGTGTTTCTAAATAAACTCATTTGAAAGTGTTTTGATCAGAACAATGTTAATCAAATATTTTGGATAAGAAAAATACAGATTATCATATGCTGTAGAACAAGAAAGCTGTTGTTAACAAGAAAAACCAAACTATTTCAATAAGTTTCATTTTTCAGATCACAGCATGATTGTGTCAAAACATAACCAATTCATTTGACTGTTATAAATCAATAACAGCAGACAAACAAAGTTTAAAGTGAAAGTATAAGTGTCAAGAGCCCAACTAAAGCAAACACTGATCTCCATAACGGTGGCTTACAATTTGTGATTTTCTCCTTCAGTGATTCTGCTTGTGATCATCAGATGTCTTCAATAATGCTCAATCATCACTAAATTAATCACTTAATTATCTCATTAACTTTAACACTCTTGAGTGTTAATTTAACACTCATATCTGCATCATATCGTCCATCTGAAAGCAGGTGAAGGTGATTTACTGCTAATCAAGGAACCGGCGTTACCCCGGATTTCCACCAAGTGCAGAATGGCCGCGGATCGGCTCCGCTGCGTGTTGGATCCGTGCTTCGCCGTCCTTCAATACCTACCAGATACGGATTTGTTGCGGAACGGCTGCGGCCATGACTGACAGCTGAAGTCACGAGGACACACGATATCTCGCAAATTTACGTTTGGATGTAAGCTAGTTTTGGATGTAAGCTAACAGGATGTAAGCTAGTTTCTATAAACAGAACAGAACCACAAAACCATCCAGAGGAGTACACGGAAAACAATTATGTGCTGACATGCTGATCTCCCTTTTTTTTGGAGATTATAGTGATTCTAGTACAATATTTATAATTAAATATAATCAACTTATAAAATGCTAAATGTTTATTTGGGTTCGATTTTGAATGTATAGTGGGAAAGTAGTAGGCTGTGTAAATAAAGTTAACTATTGTTGTTTTTGGAAAAGGGAAAACTATATTTTTATTTTGAAAATTACCGGATGTTTTATTTACTTTCTGTGCTCGACTTCCTGCCACGCTCTCCTCCGGCATACGGCAAAAATAGAAACTTGGCGTATCTTCTCCGGAGGGCTGCTCGTCACCGGAGCTGGGACGGAGTCGGAATGCACTGCAGCCGTTCCGCATTCACTGAAAATGCACACATTGACTTTAATGGAAACCTATTGACTCCGCCGCCGTTCCTGAGCGGATCCGCAGCCGTTCCGCAGTTGGTGGAAATTGGGGGTTACTGACGAGATGCGCATAACAATCTCATGCGATATATCGCCCAGCCCCAGCCCTATTTTCGTTATGTTCATGTGATCATTTATTGACGTAGATGCAAATGGTCATCAATAGACCTTTATTTGTTGTGCTTTGTGAAACAGGTTATCAAAATTCATAGGATAAAGAAGAAAGATATTTCCTTGGGAAAAAGGGGCTCATGGAATCCGGTAGGCTATTCAGAATTTACGAAACATGTATTTGCATTTTTTACATTTAGTTCTCATTAACACTTACTTTTGTATGTATCTTTTTAGAACAGCAGAATTCATACAAACTTGTCAAGAGGTAGGCCTAAGTTTAATTTTCATATTTCTATAAATTATGTCGTTTTTATTTATTTATTGTTTGTTTCTTGAGAGAAATAATTCTTCAAAACTTTATAAATGTTACATATATTTTTGTATATCAAACAAACTTTTAATAACAATGTCAATTCACAAGCTACAGATTAGACAATTTCCCTGGCTGTCATATTTTAATTGTTAATTACATTTTATATCCCTTTTTCCCTATCCCCCTTTTTTATTTTTGTGGTCTTCGATAAAGAATCAAATTGCCATTATTTGCAATGTTTATCCCTGAAATAAAAGACGCGTTTGTTTTCTCAGAGTGATCAATGGGCAAGCACGGAAAGCTGGGACAAGTACTGTGTCTCTGAATGAACTGGATGAGCTGAAGATTGATGAGGAAGACCCGTTTCTTGATGATGTGTCTGAAGTCATCAAGGAAGTCGGCAATACTATCGATAAGAACCCTCGATTCAAACGGTATGTTCGATCATATATTACATGAAAGGGGCTATGAAAACAAAGGTTTGTGAACTCTAGAAACTGAAAGTGTTATAACCATTCTAGTTATAATCACACAGACACCAGATTTAACTTGCCATCTATCTTTTGTTTCCACTTTTCATGTGATAACCTTGATGAAGGCCCATCAATACACAACATCCCCCCTTAACATAAATATGAACTTACCCCAACTAAACAAGTTCTCATTCACATTTTCTTACAACTTAAATCAGTTCAGAACATTCAAGGTACATGTAACAATTCAGAACAATCAAATCACATGTAACAATGCTTTCAAAGCATGAGCACTAAAACACAGCATAACTCTTAATCTAATTCCTACTTTTTTTCCAACTTGCATAGTCTAACCTTTATCAGTCACTCAACAACATAGTCTCTAAACCTTTCAGGCAATTTGATTTGTCTCTGGGGTCTGCAAGGTTTAGGAATCTGTTCCTCTCTCTGAAATGTTTCACAGATTACAGCAAAATCCAACCCGATCTCACGACCAAGTCGTACGAATTCGACGAATGATTAAAAAGTGGCTAACTCGTAACAATTCAAACGACCTCACTCGTACGAATTAATACGATTTTGCTAAATCGTACATTTTTTACGAATTGGCCGATTCGTATGAATTCATACGAATGACCTACCCCTTACCCCGCCCCTAAACTTAACCATCACGTGGGTTTAGACAAATCGTACGAATTAGTACGAGTGAGGTCGTACGAATTAGTACGAATTAGACACTTTTTAATCATGCGTCGAATTCGTACGAATTGGTCGTGAGATAGTGTTGCCCAGTGTTAAATGAACTCTCCTGGGGCCCGTTTCAGTAAGGAGGTTCAACCAACTCTGAGTTAAAGCTTGAACTCTGAGTTGACTTACCCTGAGATGGGAAACTCTGAGTTTTCGGTTACAGAACGGCTGAAATGAGTTAGTTCAATCAACTCTGAGTTAAGCGCGTGCACCACAGCTATAAAAAGCCATTATCAATGGAACGCAGATTTAATGAGTCACCATGGCAACAGCGCCAGACAAAAATAGGTTGGGTGTAATCAATTACCAAGTGATCTAAATATTGTAATTTAATTAAGGGAATTACTCTTAATTTTTCTGTAATTTAAAAGAAAATATGATGCAATTACATTAAATAGGCTACTGCATAAACTACAGACCAATTCAGTATAAAACAATAGTGGAGTTAACATACATTTTTAAAAGGTATATTTTTTATGTAACTCTCTCCCTCTACACACTTTGATCAATTCAAGAATAATTCATGCAATTGTATATTGTTCATTTGAAAGCATTAAAAGTGCAGTTTCTTGTCTCTCCTCCTTGTATTAATCAAGTGGTTGAGGTTGATATAGGATTTGCAATTATTAATATGCAGACCAATATTTTCTAGAGATAGTAATTATTACTTTAATCTAACTACACCGTTGAAGATGTCAGTTAATAATTCATAACTATTTTAGAGTAACTTACTGTTATAGTATCAGAGGTGAAACTGGAAGAATGTTATTCAACCTAAAGTATGCCACTATTACTTTGATAAATTTTTACTTAAGTAAAAATACCAGTCTAAAAATCTACTCAAGTAAAATGTAGTTAATTTGCAACATGAGTAAAAGTCTCTGAGTAACTTGTTTAACAGTGGCGGAGGGGGTGGGGGACTCCCCCATGTGGGGTTTGAGAGTTTCACAGTATAAGAACCGTCTCAGAAAATATCACGGTTTATGGTATTAAACAATTATTAAATATATAAACTGCATTATTAAATTACGGTGGTTATTATTATTATCATCAGTTAAAATGACAGTTAAATAAATTAAACATCCGTTCAATAAAACATATGTAATCAACTAACTTCAATAATTGATTATGAATAATATTAACATCTTATTTTTGATCATTAATAACTTATCATTTAATGTTTGAAAATAATTGAGTTCTATTAAATGTTTTTCATTCCATTTTTTTAATGATTTAATAGAAATATATCATAAAAAATGGTCATAATCAAATAAAAGTTTAGCAAACGTTTTAATCCTTTTATTTCTTGGCAAAGTGCTGCAAAACAGATTTAGTCAATTAAAACATGGACAAACAATATATATCCCTTAAAGAATGTGTAAATACATTTTATTGTTGGTGTTTAAACAGCACTTCCTCTTTAAAAAAGGGGAGGAGACTGCAAGAAACTCTGGGTTTCCTGAAGAAAACCTGCTGCCGACCAGGTTAGGTTCAGAGAGTAAGTTACCATGGTAACTGACTCTGAGTATAAGTTACCTCTCTTTCAGAAACGGGCTTGATTTACTCTGCTTTCTCAGGTTTAACTTACCTCCCTTTCTGAAATGGAATTTCAGGGTTAACATACTCAGAGTTTTCACTTAACCTCCTTTCTGAAACAGGCCCCAGGTGTACATTAGGGCTGGGGGATATATTGCACAATATTGTTATGCGCATCTAATCAGTAAAGCCGGTTCCTTGATTAGTAGTAAATCTCCTTCACCTGCTTTCAGATGGACGATATGATGCAGATATGAGTGTTAAATGAACACTCAAGAGTGTTAAAGTTAATGAGATAATTAAGTGATTAATTTAGTGATGATTGAGCATTATTGAAGACACCTGATGATCACAAGCAGAATCACTGAAGGAGAAAATCACAAATTGTAAGCCACCGTTATGGAGATCAGTGTTTGCTTTAGTTGGGCTCTTGACACTTATACTTTCACTTTAAAATGTGTTTGTCTGCTGTTATTGATTAATAACAGTCAAATGAACAAAGAAAACTGTGATCTGATAATGTTGGTTGTGTTTTGACATAATCATGCTGTGATCTGTAAAATGAAACTTTTCTGATGAATTGGTTTAACTTGTTAGCAACACTTCAGTGGTTTTAAAACATATGATTATCATTATTTTACTGATATTCCAAAATATGTAATATAAATTATTCTGATCAAATCACTTTCAAATGCATTTATTTAGAAACACAGACATCAATAATCAGCCTGTGAATCTCAACTGTGGTGACAACATAATCCTTGTTGCCACCAATCACAACTCAATAATGGCTCCCATCATGCATTGCGGTATGAATAAATTATGATCTGAATTGTCTATGTAATTTACTTTTCCTAATTGAATATTCTACTCGTCACCGTTGTTGAGAAACATTGACTGAATCTTGAGGTCTGTGTGTGCCTTCAATAAAGATTTTTTTTTTACAACTTTTAAGAAATCCTTTACATTATAAATTCTGGATATTTATGCAGAATCTCAGTTATACTGTAACCAAAAAAATGAATCACAAATACTACATTCAAATGACGGTTGTCAGAATATAACCAAAACTATTAGTTTGTATGTTTTTTCTTTGTTCATCTGACTGTTTTAACTCAGATACAACAGTCCAACAAAACCTAAAGTTAATGTAAGGGTCAAGAGCCCAACTAAAGACTGATCTCTGATCTCCATAATGGTAACCAATTACGATTTTCTCCTTCAGAGATTCTGATGTTATGGTGACTTCAATTGAAACACAGAGTTAAACCTCTGTTAATTCTCAATAAAATCTTCTGTAGAAGTCTGACAGAAATAAAGTCAGTCTGGTTAGTAATAAGTGAAGCTGGTAATGCTGTTTGTGGAGTTGTTTAATCCTCCTCTGCTGAGATCTTCAGATTTCATCATGTCTTCTTTTCTGTCTTTTCAAGGCCGTGTCTCAGTTGTAGTTCTTGTGTTTCTGCTCATCTTTTTCTGTTCTCTTCAGAGGAGTAAAGTCCAGGTTCAGAAAGTAAAAGTCCTCCTCAGTATTTTGTTCCAATCACCTGGATTTGTTTATTAGCAGTTTTTCAGTCAGGAGACAGAAATCAGCTGAAATCAACTGTCATGATTCATTCATGGCTGGAATAAACAAATGGCAGGACTTCTACTTTTTTTCTACTTCTACTTTATACAACACTGTTAAGCCGAGACACGGATGAATAGGGTAAAATTTTTAACTAGCAGATATCACCATGAAACATTCCCAGTTGATTACTTACATTAAGATGAGAAAAAGAAAATGTATCACACGTTTTCTTTAATTTTATGTTTTAATATGCAAATTAGGCAATATATAATTTAATATGTGCCAATTTGCATATATTTTAAAAAAACGTAATCTGAGTATTGGATAAAGCCAGGTTAAAAATGTTTTTTTTTTTTTCATTGTGTTCACATATTAGATGGGAAAAAAAATTACAGAGGGATTTATGGATATATTATCTACTTTTATTATCCTGTAAATCAGAATATAATGATTTTCTCCATGTTTTTTTGGAATAAAATGTTATACATATCAGGCTACAAATAATATATTTACAAATCCCTCTGTAAATGTCTTCATAAAATAACTAGATCTACTGAAGTGGTGATTTCTACAGACACAAACAGACAAAGTGTAGTAAAATAAAGACCTACATTTATATTTCGGATTTTTTTTTTACCACAATTCTGAAAGGACCCAAAGACAAAAACCCTAAAATCTCAAAATTGACCAGTAAAAAAACCCCAAAAACTATGTTTTTGCCTGCCGTGTTTTTGCCTGTCTCGCCTTATAGTGTTATCAGTATTATTTTGGAAAAAGTTTTGCACACTTCAATGTACACATGCGTCGTGAATTAGAAATGTGGAAACGGGGTTGTTACTGCGGTAATATCACGTTCAGTGCTATAAATCTCTCCGTTCCAGAATATTTAATTCATAACATCAATCTTTGATTCAGGTGTTTGTGCAACCGGAAAGTATGTGAGAAGTGCAATCTAAGTTACCTTTCGTGCTTCGTTCCGCCATTTCACCTCAACTTCAAGTGCGAGGGAAAAAAACATAGCTTCTGTATGGAAAATGAGCGATTTTAATTGGTCGTCAATTCACTGAGTCTGTCTGCGTATCGTAGCAACGAGCACAAGACAAGGTTGTGAAAAACAAGGTTTTATCAGTCATACATGTTTCATTACAGGCTTACTGATGAGTTTGCATGTGTGGCAAATGAAAAGAATTTGTGGAAACTTGCATATAAAGTGATTGCAGATGGCATTACCTGGGGGAAGATTGTTACTCTGATCTGGATCGTTGGAAAAGCAGTTGTAAAGGTAAGTAGGCGCCCTATAGGTCTATCGTGGATCAAATAGATCTAAATTCAAGGATCCACCATCAAACAATGTATAGCCTGTTTTGTTCTATTTACTGCATTTGAAACAGAGCTTTCCTCAGTGCAACACTTATTTCACAAGTATATTCTCCATCTACAAACGTTAGAAAGTCATTCAAATGTTTCCATTTTGCTGCTAAACTTCACATTGAACGAGCACTGCTGCGCGCATGCGCGCCAAATAGGAGCGCAATAATTCTGACTAAAATATATATGTTGCTAAAATTAATATGCGATATTTTAGAGCACCAGAAATATCTTCTAACTATAATAATTTGTATATATCGCACGATATTGTTATGCGCATCTAATCAGTAAAGCCGGTTCCTTGATTAGTAGTAAATCTCCTTCACCTGCTTTCAGATGGAGCGGCATTCACTACAAAGAGCCGTAGATCACTGACAAGCTGAGCCATATCGCGTTAATATCGAGGACATATCGATAGCGATATTTAATGTGATATGGCTCAGCTGGTCGGTGAACTTAACACAAATTAACACTAAATTAACACACCTGGGAGTGTATATAAGTCCACACTCAAGAGTGTTAAAGTTAATGAGAGAATTAAGTGATTAAATGAGTGATGATTGAGCATTATTGAAGACATCTAAAGCAGAATCACAAAGAGAAAATCTAAAATTGTAAGCCACCATTATGGAGATCAGTGTTTGCTTTAGTTGGGCTCTTCACCCTTATAATATTAATTTTATATTTTAATTGGCTGTTGAATCTGTGTTATACCTGTCAGATGAACATAGAAAAAAAGTACATATTTAATAGTGATACTCATGTTATAAAATCATTTGAAATTTATGTGTGTGATTTATTTTGTTGGTTACTGCATGACTGAGATTCTGCATAATAAATATGCAGGATGTTAGACATGGTGAATATCTTAAAGGAACACTCCGACTTTTTGGGACTTTAGCCTATTCACCTTATCCCCCAGAGTTAGATAAGTCCATACATACCTTTTTCATCTCCGTGCGTGCTATAAGTCTGTTTGACGCACCCACCGCTAGCCTAGCTTAGCACAAAGACTGGATGTGACTGGTTGCAGCTTTCATACTAATCCAAATGAGAGACAAAATAACACAAACGTTTTCCTATTTACATGTTGTGATTTGTATAGTCACAGAATGTACAAATAACAAAGTCAAATGAGACACAGATATCTTTTAACCGTATAAAACCTGGGAACTATTCTCTGAAGGCGAAGCACTGCTACTTTGACGGAGTAATAACCGCATCACCTGAGACACGCCGGCCGTGGTGAGGAGCGGAGAGTTCGCTCAGTGTTTGGGTAACAGAGTCAGCAATTTATAAATAGTAAAAGCGTAGTTTAGAGTCATGGGTTTTCGCTCTATTGTAAATAGCTGCGACTGTAAACAGGGGAGGTAACCATGTTTCACAGAATTCCAACTAAAAATGCTGACTGGATGAAGAAATGGCTAACTTACTCTGGATATTTATCCAAACACACCTAAGATTATCAAGGGACATTATGTTTGCTCGGTACATTTCAATGAGGACGACTATTTTGAAAAAATGGAATTTGCCACACGGACCATAATGTGCTGAAGGATACGGCTATCCCATCGATAGCACAGACAGGACAAGTGGACCTGCGGCTGAGGTAAGTGTTCCGTTATGTTTTTAGATGACCTACTGTAACAGTGCCTTTAGCCAGATCTAATGTAACGTTAGTGACACTATTATATGATTAGGGTATGAATATGTTTTTATCTTGATGCGGTGCGGACGCGCTTGGAAAAAAAACGAGCGTTCACCGCGTTGAACTTGCACCCTGTGCGCGGCGCGCCTAGTAGCCTAAATTTGAAATAACCATGGAAATAACGAACTTGAGCGTGCAAAAGGGTACGATAGGCTGTGAGTTCATTGTGCAAAAACAATTTGTGCTATTACTTTCCCCTTATTCTATCCTATAGTAATGCAATTTTACTGTATATTATATACTGTTGAATACATTTTGTTCAGCTAAGAAATTGCATTTAAAATATATTGATTCCTGTAATAGTAATTATTTATTCATGTGATATTTATAAATCTGGGTGCGTTTTTGGTTGGAAATCAATGAAACATGGTACCTGGTCTCCCCTGTTTATTGTCACAGCTCATACAATAAAGCAAACACCCATGATAAACTATGCTTTTCTATCTAACGTTAGTAATTGCTGACTCTTTACTCCAACACTGAGCGAACTCTCTCGTCAACTCTCTGCTCCTCGTCACGGTGCGTCTCAGGTGATTGTTATCACTCTGCCCAAGTAGCAGTGCTTCGCCTTCAGAAAATATAGTATTTATACGGTTAAAAGATGTCTGTGTCTTATATGGCCTTGATATTTGCACACTCTGTGACTATACAAATCACAACATGTAAATAGGAAAACGTTTGCATTATTTTGTCACTCATTTGGATTAGTATGAAAGCTGCAACCAGTCACATCCAGTCTTTGTGCTAAGCTAGGCTAGCGGTGGGTGCGTCAAACAGACTTATTTACTTTTCCTAATTGAATATTCTACTCGTCACCGTTGTTGAGAAGCATTGACTGAATCTTGAGGACTGTGTGTGCCTAAAGGTATAGTTTTCTTGAAAAAAAAAACTTTTAAGAAATCTAGTATATTTAACAATCTGGATGTTTATGCAGAATCTCAGTTATGCAGTAACCAACAGAATAAATCACAGACATAAATTTCAAATGATGAATGTTCAACTTCATTTTATAATTGTTTATCTTTGTTCATCTGATAGACATAACTCAGATGCAACAGCAAATTAAAATATAAACTTAATAATATAAGGGTCAAGAGCCCAACTTAAGCAAACACTCATCTCCATAATGGTGGCTTAAAATTTTAGATTTTTTTCCCTGTGATTCTGCTTTAGGTGTCTTCAATAATGCTCAATCATCACTCATTTAATCACTTAATTATCTCATTAACTTTAACACTCTTGAGTGTGGACTCATATACACTCCCAGGTGTGTTAATTTAACACGGGAGATTTTGTCGTGACGAAGAGCCGTAGTTCACTGACCAGCTGAGCCATATCGCATTAAATATCGCTATCGATACGTCCTCGATATTAACGCGATATGGCTCAGCTTGTCAGTGATCTACGGCTCTTTGTAGTGAATGCCGCTCCATCTGAAAGCAGGTGAAGGAGATTTACTACTAATCAAGGAACCGGCTTTACTGATTAGATGCGCATAACAATATTGTGCGATATAAGGCCCAGCCCTACCTGATGACTGTGTTACTAAATAAAGATGAAAGAGATTTGATCAGAACAATTTATATTACATGTTTTGGATAATAAGAAATATACAGATATGCTAGATAATAACTAAAATGTTGCTGTTACCAACTAGTTAGACTAAATCATCTTATTAAGTTTCATTTTTCAGATCACAGCATGATTATGTCAAAACACAACCAACACTTGTATTCTTGTTTTATGGATCAACCCTCAGATGTCACTTAAATGTGTTTGTTTGTTTTTGCATGGATAGAGGCTTGGTTCTTTACGTGATTCTGGCTTAGGAATGGTGTCTTGGATACTGGAATTCTTTAGGGCCAACTTACTGAGCTGGATCTGCAATAGAGGAGGATGGGTATGATTTGATAAATATGAAAACACTTATATTAACACAGCATGATAGTACAAATTGACAAATTAATGATTAATTAATTAATTTTCTTAAACAGGTTCAGCTCCTTGTCTCCAGCTCTGTGTCTAGTTACACAATTCAGTGAGATTTTTGTGCTTCATCCAGTCTAATTTCCCTCTATTCTCGAGTCCCTTTCATCAATCCTGGATGGCCAAATATGCATAACAGAACAACATTTAAATAAAATCTCTTCTATAAATAGATTTGACAATGCTTAAGTTTTATTTGAGTGCAATATTAAACCATATTTCTTGATCAGTCTGAAGACTATGCTTTATATATGGTGCTAAAAACTTACAATAAAAACTTTTGAAAGAAATTTGAAGAACCTCACATGACACATGTTGAAAATGCTGGCATGAGCTTTTATCAATTTTATTGACTTTTGATACCTTTTTCTTTTAAAATTGGATTTCATTGTTAAATTTTTTTCCTATCTGCCGAAATTTATCAGGTAGATTAGCATTTACGTTCAAACTTCCATACTTTTAGTTATATATAACGATTTTTAGGACTATTTTTTTCCACAAACTCTGTTAAAATATTAGTTTATAAACTATTTTCTTCATACATTTCAAAAATATAAGATATGTTTTAAAATACATGTCAGTTCTTGATTGTAGTGTTCTCCTGCAGTGATGAAACTCTGACTAAAAGTTAAACCATTGCAAATGAAGACAGATTCATAGTAAGGTTGATCATCACTATCACTTCCTCATTACTGTAAAAAATTGCGCTGTAAAATAACAGTAATCTACTGGCAGCTGTGGTTGCCAGCAAAGTACTCTTATTTTACAGCCCTCTATGTTTAATACAGCTCTGCTTTTTTGCAGTATGTTACTGTAAAAATACCATGGAAGGTAACTCTTTCATTTGGAAAACCAATTCAAACAGTTCAAGTTTAAAAACTAGTATTTATACTAGTTGTAAAATATAATTGACTAGTACTGTAAAATTACTTCATTAGAATCCACTGAAAATGAATATCGTATGACAACAGAAAGATACGTTCACAAGACTGCTGAATCTTTTATCATGGTGCCCTTTTAATTAAGCAGAAAGAAATATGACCTGTACTGGCAAGAACATATTCAAACCTTGGCAATGGACGGAGTACAATGGAAATGCATCACAGAGGTCGTCGCCCATACCCAGGGGTGCGCACAGGACGCTAAGCTGACTTTACAAATGTTGATTTTCCTCAAATATTTATATTAGTGATGTATCAAAAATTGTGATATTTGATCAAAGGATCAAAATCAAAAAAGGATTATCAAAGGAACTGTGTATAAGTGTGTGTGTGATCTATATCTTGTTAGAATTTACAGTGTAGTTATCTATCTGTAGAATATAATTCTTTTGAGAAACAAAAATATAATTGCTGAAATTATTTAAAGTGACTTCAATATCACAACAGAATAAACAAACACATACACATGGTTTTGATTATGTTAACACTTTAATACGTACAATTAAACCGGTGTGATTATATAGTGCATTTCAGGTATTTTAATACATTGCGTAGGTCACTATAAAGTTTACTTTTTTTTCTCCCACTTCACCGGCCTCTAGAGCTGCACAATTCTGGCTAAGATGAGAATCACTATTTATTTACTTGGAATAAAGATCACGATCCTGAAAAGCTTTATTATATTAAAGATCTACGAATCCTGAACAATAGGTTAAACAAGATAAAAACAAAATAAGACATAATACTCTTGCTTTAGTCAAATTTAAATAAATGCAGTAAACAAAAAGAATGCAAAATTTAAATAAATAAAAATTGACAATTAAACATTTACAACATTCAAAGATATTATGCCAGGCTAGACCTATTAAAGATTCTTAGCAAGAAACACTATCAACTTTTGGGGTATGGTTTACTGACCTACTTTTCATCTAAAGGTCCTTTCACACAGCGCAATGATGCCGGGAAATTGCCAGAACGCCTTCTTTGTTAGTGCAAACACGACTCGGCATCTATGCCGGGTTGGGGACCAAGTAACATTGCCGTGTTCAGTCCCGGAACGCACGCTGTGTCAACAAAAGCCGCATTAATGCCGTATCGTAGTAAAGACGCTGGGATCGTTCGCCAGCTGTGAAACTGTACGTAATGCACAAGTTTATGATCAAATCAGAGAAAAAAACTGCACAACCGTGGTTTCTCGAGAGAGAAATTGCAGCTCATAAGCAAACTTCATTACAAGTGACAGAGATGTCATGTGTCTTTACAGGATTTTTACAGGTTGTGTGTGAATCCACTCTCTGACTCCAGAAAATCACTGGCAGTGTGAATGAACAAAAATCAACTTAACCCGGGTCAAATCCAGAATCTCTGTGTGAAAGGCTCTTAAAGGGTTAGTTCACCCAAAAATAAAAATTAAGTATTTACTCACCCTCATGTTGTTCAACCCTGTAAGATTTTCGTTTATCTTTGGAACACAAATTACGATATTTTTTTTTTAAAAGAATGTTTTAAAAGTGCTACATTATTTAAATAAAAAATAGACAAACAATTACATGACAATTTCAAAATCAAATTCAAAATCAATTTTAGTAAATAAAAACAATCTATGCAGAATTGTCAAAAACATGATTAATGGTTCTGTAATCCCTAACACATACAGAAGAGTTTCTATAAGTAAATAAGAGTAAAATAATAAAATGTAAAATAATCATATAAAATGTTTTCTGTTGCAAGCTCACATACTTGATCTCATGTTTTCTCATTATTTTTGAGCTGTCAAGTTGGCATGTTCAAATAATCAGTTCCATACACTTGACACTTTTTTTTTAATTTAATTTCAATATTTATTTATCTCGTGTATGGGTCTCCCTTATTTTGCCTCACTTGAAGGTTGCAACCCTAGTCATTTTTAACATCTCTTTTTACAGGTTGTGTTATTTTCAACATCATTTTATAAGAGTGCACCAGTGTAAATAAAACTTATTTACACACAACATTTTGTCATTTGCAACATTTTAATCTAATTCAAAGTGCAAACTTAGTGAAATCACACTCCCTGTGTTAAGAACAATAACACACTGGTTGAGTTAAAAGTAAAACAAAATGCATTGTCCTTAACTAGACACACAGGTGTGTTAAAATATAACACAGGTTGTGTTGTTTTTAACACATCCGTTTTAAGAGTGTAGGTTTTTCAGTAACTTTAGACAAAGTTTGATTGTTAGTCTGAAGAGTAAAATAATTAATTTTGATAGATGGACCCAGTGATAGCGGTCTTTGCGAAACCTCGTTGATAAAACAATAATAGAAAAATAACTTATTAAATTCACGTGTTAGTTTTCATTTACCTCGGTCAAACCAATGCCCACCGAATGCGAGCGCGCTCCCGCGACCGGGTCACATCTCATGTCGATGGTGATCATTATTTTCTGCGCAGATTTTGCTCAACTCAAACGAGCCTATTCCCATAGGAACTGTATCTTGAACTTTAACCTGCACTTTCCGTCACAGATTGAAACCGGTTTTTACCTTTGTAATGTGACTGACTCCGCCTGCAAACCTCTTGCTGCTTTCATTTTGAAGGGAAGAAAGAAACGTCTAAACTGAATGAAACTTCGACACAGAGGTATCGCGTTTATTTATAAAAACCCTCTTTGTGTTTGTTAAATGAAATGTAAGTGACATCTGTAACAGAACTGAATGTGACTAACTTGATGAGGTACTGTAACGTGGGTTTCAGTTTCACTATGGGCCATCAGAAACAAATGAGACTTCTTTTGGTACAGATGTAACATGTGCAATGAGATTTTAGAACAAACAAACAGTGTCAAATTATTGCATTAGTTGTAAGTGTAAAGACTAAAGATCTGTCGCATGTTGAATGCACCGATACCACTTTATAAGGTTCAAGTAGGCTATTGCTGTGATGACGTTTCAATGATGAAGTGAATGAGGAAGCTCTGGGTTCACACAGTTTGAGTAGTATGAAGCTGCAGACTCGGAGACCTGCATCTACAGTCCCCCTGCACCCAAAGTCCCGCATTCTCAGACCCCTCGTTTTTCGAGACAGCGCCTCCTTTCAAATTGTATCGGATAACATGTGAAGAACATGTGAAGAACTTAAGCCAAAACGTGAGTAGGCTATCTTCAATTTTATTTAGCGAATCGTAGTAGCCTACTCGTTTGATTTATTTTTTAATAAAACCAATTTAGCTCATCGATACAACATATGAATAGTCCATTTAATATTTGTAAAGATAGTTTGTAACTAGATTTGAGCCATTAATGTATGTTTTTTCGCCGTCTTCCCCCCGAAAATATTTAGACAGCTAACGTTAGCCTTTAACCTTGGACTTTTAGTAAAAATGTCATAAATGCTGCAGTTATTTTCACTGCCCATTCTGTGCCCCCATATATTTCAAACCCACAAAGTTGTCCAAAGTTCAAAAACATCTCAAGGGACACTTCAACAGAGCAGTGCAACATGGTAGCTAACATTTGCAAACATCTTTTTTCTTTTTTTTCTTCCTTTTTGAAACACCATAAGACATGTGCTATCGGTCCTACTGTATGTTGTTGGCTATTCCAGGGTACAACATACATCAATCCAGCAACTCATTTTATGATTATGCAAAGCGACTTATAAATGAGTTTTTTTTTATGCAATTGAAGACGCAATGTAAAGTCACAAACACAGTTTTTTCTTCCTTTTTTCTTTACAGCAAGATGTTTAGGTGATCATTAAATAAAGTACAGAATTGTTTATTATTGGTGTTTTGTCTATTCCGATTTGTTTTGCTTCGCATTAAAAATATCAAAAAACAAGATATTGTAAGCATGATATTGTTAGCATGGTAATGTTAATTAGACCATTATAGGTTGAACTGAAAGAAAAATTGGAATTTGAATAAAAAAATATAAAAAAAAAACATTGTAGAAATATAATATCACATACTATTTTTCTGAAGATAGTTCAATCTGTAATTGTATCCCTTCCATCAGTAAGAATTATTTTTTTTTTGGCACATGCATTAAGCAGGGAACGCAAATATTTATTGGATAATTTATTTGGAGACCATAATATTGCAAATGCAATATTGCATTTGGATAATCGTGCGCCGTACTCTGTGTGTGGGTGTTATTCGATCTTTTGAACAGCAGGAGGCGCTGTGTTCGAAAAACGAGGGGTCTGAGAATGCAGAACTCTCGGTGGGGGACTGTAGATGCAGGCTCCGAGTCTGCAGCTTCATAATATTGCACAGTTTTACTTTATCATGAGGATTTATTTCAACTCCTTCAGGGGGCTGTTCCATAAAAGCCGCTTAGAAAAGCGGGGATTAAAGTCCAAACCTGACTTGAATGAGCCGAGCTAAACATCCGCGCTTAAATTGGTTCCATAACAGTAAGTTAAGGATCATATGATCTTACTAATTTGAGTCAGGTTTAAATAGTCTAGCGGTCAAAACACTGGTATAAACACAGATGTCGCGATTTTCAATGTCCAGAGCCTTTTAAACTTGAGCCAACCAACCCCGTGACGTCAACTGCACAATACATACAGTCGGCAACGCGTCATAGTTGGGGGGCGTGGTCGGCGTGGGGGAAAGCACCGCGACCATCCTATGTATTTGAATGACAAAAATGTCATATTGCGAGTCATTTATGCCTGCCGACCGGCAACGGTACATTGCAAAATTAACTGTAATAGGTTATGATTACCCTTATTTAATTAAAAACTGGGTCAATGACCCAACCAAATGGCCGGAGGTGTCGTTTCCAGACTAACGTTATCTGGTTGAATCTTCAGGTAAGACATCGCGGAAGCTAACGGCAACACAAGCCTATTACTCAATTAACTTGCGCATAAGTCAAGTGTATAAGTCCATAAAACCATGTCACTTACCAATTGTACGTATGCTTCACTCCAAACTATTAATCCTTTTGTAAAACGGTGATCAGTTTTAGCTACGAAATTGCAGAGGGACTTTGCTGACAGTTATCCGAATTCTCACAGACTGCAGTTTGATAACCTTAAACCTTCAGCTGATGAAGCTAATGTGACTGAGACATCCCTTATGAAAAACAACTAAAGGAATCTTGTTGTATTTTAGGACAAAATATTATAGTAACGTTAATCCTATAGGAATACTATAGTATTTTGGGACATAGCCTAGAAGTATAGAGGTATTAAAGAACATCACAGAAGTATTATAAACTACTATAGAATATTAATAGCCATAGGATTACTATAGTTCTTTTTCGTAAGGGATGTAAAGTCAGACAAATCTGGCCCACTGCCTAATACGAGTTAAACATCTACTACTATATCACACAGGGACCTCTACTCACACAGTTATCTAATAAGATATGAGATATGATTAATTTTGCCGTTTTGTCCTCCTATCCGGTTCTGTATGTATGTAAGAAAGGCTGTAGAACTTCAATTTATAATTTGTTAGTTTATTGGTGGTACAGAAAACGACACAGTAACTCTTCGGCATGATTGTCCCATGTATTTCAATGAGCGCCAAGGCAATGTTTTCCCCCACGGGCTAAATTCACACCACGTGACGGGGCGTTCCCGGGGGCGTTCCCAGACCAACCGACTGTACCTATGGCGGCGCCCTTCCTTTTCCTCCTCCAGGTCATCTTCGGTCGAGACTGACGGGCACTCAGTCTCCTCCACCCAAGAGGGTCCGAACGGCAGTGGATGATGTCTCCAAGCAGCATCGCTCTCGTTCCCCTCCTCCCAGTCTGCAGATAGCAGCGACGCTTCCTCGGTTGCGTCACTCCAGTCAGCAACTGGTCTCGGAGGGGCAGAGACCAGTTCACGAGGAGGCAGGGTCTCATTCTGCGTCTCTTCCCCTCGCCACAGGGCGGCCCGCAGCGGGAAGCCCACGGGCTCTCTCTGCCGCCTGCCCCCCGGTGGAAGCAGGTCCCCGGCGAACTTCACGTCCAGACCCCACTGGAGCCGGGTCCCTGCCTTCCACCTCGCTGCCCCTCCGCGGGTACACCGGTGGTTCGGGTGGGCTCCTTGGTTCGGTACCTGGAGGCCTGGCTAGCGCTTCCGGGTCCGTCCCGATGGCTCATCTGCACCATTTGGTTCGGCTATGCAATTCAGTTTGCACGCCGGCCTCCCAGATTCAGGGTCGTTCACTTCACCCGTGTGCGGTCGGTGGACGCCCCTGTCCTGCGGAAAGAGATCGATGTCCTGCTGGCGAAGGACGCGATCGAGCCGGTCCCTCCTGCCGAGATGAGGTCTGGGTTTTACAGCCCCTACTTCATTGTACCCAAGAAAGGCGGTGGGTTACGGCCTATCCTGGACCTGCAAGTTTTGAATCGGGCCCTGCACAAACTCCCGTTCAAGATGCTCACGCAGAAGCGCATTTTCGAATGCATCCATCCCCAGGATTGGTTTGCAGCGATCGACCTGAAGGACGCGTACTTTCACGTCTCGATTCTTCCTCGACACAGACCGTTCCTGCGGTTTGCGTTCGAGGGTCGAGCGTATCAGTACAAAGTCCTACCCTTCGAGCTGGCCCTCTCACCTCGCGTCTTCACGAAAGTCGCGGAGGCGGCCATTGTTCCCATGAGAGAACAAGGCGTTCGCATCCTCAACTATCTCGACGATTGGCTTATTCTGGCTCACTCGAGAGAGGTATTGTGCGATCACAGGGACGTGGTGCTACGGCACCTCAGCCGGTTGGCTTCAGGTCAACTGGGACAAGAGCAAACTTTGCCCCGTGCAGAGGATCTCTTATCTCGTATATCTCTGTACGACTCGGTCGCTCAGACGGCGCACCTCCCAGAGGAACGCGTCCAGTCAGTGCTCACCTGCCTCAGGTCCTTTCGAGGCAGGACAGCGTTTCCACTGAAACTACAGAGGCTCCTGGGACATATGGCTGCCGCAGCTGCAGTAACACCGCTCGGCCTGTTGCATATGAGACCGCTCCAGCACTGGCTTCACGATCGAGTCCGGAGGTGGGCGTGGCAGAGTGGCACGTTCAGGCTCAAAGTAACCCCGCACTGTCGCCAAACCTTCTCCCCATGGTCGGATCCTGCGTTTCTTCGGGCCGGAGTGCCCTTAGTCCAGGTTCCCAGGCATGCTGTGGTTTTCGCGGATGCCTCCGCCATGGGTTGGGGGGCCACGTACAAAGGGCATGCAGTCTTGGGTCTGTGGACGGGAGTGCACGTCGGAGTTCCCAGGACGAAAGGGAACTACAAATAGGAGTACCTTCTGGTACTAGGTTATTTTTTCTCTCTTTTTTTGTGATGTGACAATTTCCCGAGAACAACACAGTAAGAGTAATGATCATCATATAATTTGAAATATTTCCACACTGCTGAGGCTGACATTGTGCGTCTGTGCACTGGAAAGTGCTGTCAGTTAGGCGAGGTATTGGAGTATTTTTACGAGTACGAGTACAAGTACTTGAGCTCAGTATCACTGCATACCTATCATGTTGTTAAACTGATTATATATTTTGGACTTTATTTTTATTGAATCAAGTCGCAGAGAGCAGCTTATTTACATCAGTAAATCTGCAGGTGCTTTTATTTAAAGTGGCTTGCAGTGAATTGAAGCTGAATGTTTGATCAGTGTGTTTGTTGATTAGGAATCAAACCTGTGAATATCAGCAGATGTGCAGCTCCATACGACATGAACAGAGTCTCAGGATTGTGACGAACTCTTGCAAGACGATGAACAGACCGACGACAGGAGTCGCAGAAGATGATCAACTGAAGACTTACAGAAACAGAATATCAACATGTCCAGTCCTGACATCACAGGTGATGAACACAGACACGTCTGAATCTGACATTAATGCTAAAACATATGGTATTTTCTGATTTAGATATCTGATATCAGTGTTAATATGGTTAAATATCACACTGAAGCTGATTTAAAAATAACATTTACTTAAAATAAAAGTTTTTTTTTTGGCAAAATTACATTTTCTTATTAGCCGAAACAGTCTTACTAGTCTTACTAAACTAAAACTTTCCAATTGAAAACCTTCAAACGTTCTAGTTAGTTTTTCAAGATAAATTAAAGTTTCTCTACAAACTGTTTTATCCAGGCCTAATGGTAAAATGTTACCAAATTATGATAAACATCATGTACACATGTTACAATAACGCTGCCTGATTCAAGCAGAGTGGCTGTTACTGCATGAAAATACAAATTCAGCATTAATATTCACCATGTTTATTCTAATTTGAAGGACTTTGATAACATCTGTGAAAATAAAATGCATTACGACTGACGAGTAAAAAAAAGATTGAAAATATTGGATGTTTGTTCGGGTAGCGAATTGTGTTGCACAATGATGAATAACCCCGCCTATTTCTCTTGTTGAATAATTAACATGTTTTGTTGTAAATTGATTTACAGTGCTTGACTTTTTCGTGAAAAAGGAGTGAAGAGTGTTTTGTCATTTTGAACTCTATGAAACTGATGGATTCGGAGCGGGTGCGAGCACGGGCGTGTCGTAGGCTAATGCACAAGCGACTGTTTTGCCATGGAAACGTGAAAGTCACGTATTTAGATAGACTATCCTTGACTCTTTGGATCCTAAATCTCGATGAAGGGTAGCAAAAACCTCAGCTTGTCGTATACTTTTCCTATGAAAAAGTGCGGGGGACGAATTTACATGGTATAAAAAGGGGTCCCCCGCGTAATCTAAGCCCATGCTAGAATGAACTCGTTCACAGTAGCGTTCATCAGGCAGTAATACAGTATGTTCAGTTCACGTTTGCCCAAAATATGAACGCGTTCAGGCACAACATTGCCGCCGGTAAAATATCATCACGTCACATCCCTAGTTACAAGTTAGTTTGTGACGTCAGAAACACCAGCGATTTCAAAACGTGTTTTTGAGACTGTCTTTGGTTCACTGCAGTTTTAAGGAGGAAATCCTCAGCAATGCTGTCCACTTATCAACTTGCACATGGTGTGTGTTAAAGCGGATTAAAAACACCACATACACAACATTAAACGCTGGATTTTCACCAGATTGTTAATATTACTTATTAGATTCAGATTGTATATCTTTATTCGGAATCATTTAATTAATTAATTCATCTAGTGGTACACAACAATGTTTACCAGATTCACTAACAATCTGTGTGTGTGTGTTTATTTTTCAGTGGAAAGAAGTAGTCCAGAATTGGATCGCCCCGACTGTACGTTAAACTGATTACAGTAACTGCATTATGATATGGTCAGGGGCGGCTCGCCCATAGAGGGCGCTGGGGCGCCGCCCTCCCTCCGACCTGTCTGTCTGTTTTTTTAATATATATTATAATTTATCATTTTGAAAAATAATCTTTGTTAATTATACTAATAATGGTTTTACTTTGAAAAGTGTTTTGAACTCACCAGAATGATATTTGCATTCACTTTCGTTACTTTTATCATGTTGGTGTAGTAGTATAGCCAATAGGCTGTCTTGTCAGGGCGCCAGTTCGCTCAGCCCCACAGTGCTGGAATTTAAGCCAATGGTTCCCCGGTTGCTATGCAAAAAAGTTTATATTTCGCCAATCAGCGCCGTCAAATTTTATGGTTTGGGGGCGCTGAAAATATCGCCCACAGTATCAGATTAGGGGAGTGCACTGTGCACGCGCACCACGGGACATTTTTTTACCTCAGATGAGAGAAGAATGGCAGCGCCAGTGACGTCGAGTGGAAATAATGTAAAGTTAGTCGCTCTGTCACTCACTCACTCACTCACTCACTCACTCACTCACTCACTCACTCACTCACTCACTCACACACACATAAACACTGTTTCACACACATTTGATATTAAAATAGTTATAGGAATATTAATACCTGTGTGTTTGCTTTGTTTTTGATGTTTTTAAGTTCTGAGATAGATTACTGTGTTTCATACTAGTTAAAATCAACTTTCTTCTCATACTTGGGTGTTACAATCAAGAATGTTGTCCCAACCTCTCTTTCAGAGCCTTTTCTCTCTCTCTTTCTCTAGTATCAACACATTGTTATCCATTATCCAATTGTCAATTTGTCAAAAATATGTAGTCTACAGCTGGGGGTTGATTAAACTAGATTGTTGTATTACCTATTATTTTTTTTGTATTACCTATAGGTATTATAATTATTATTATATTATAATTTATCAATATTATGCGTTTGCACTTTTTCTGTCAGCACACAGAGCATAATAAACATGCAACTTGTTCATTATCATTAACTGTCAAACTGTTATTATTATTATTGTATTATTTGACCATTGGTATTGACTGGTTTAAGTTATTTTATTGGTATAGGTAAGGGCATGGCCTAAGGCCTAAAATGCACCAGAATGCAGGAAATCACATCTACTAATTTCAAAATTTTATGGGGGGGGAACCCCCAGACCCCCCTCTTATTCAGCCCCCCCTACAATAATTTTCACCAGCCGCCACTGGATATGGTTATACAGATTTGATGAACTGTGTCTGATTAGTTTTTAATATTTAGTGCTGTAAATGCTAAGCAGGAAAATAATCACAAAATGACAAATTCTGCATGTTTTTGTCAAATCTAGCACTTATTTCCCTTTATCAGTTTCAGAGAAGCTGAATCTGGCTGTGTGTGGAAGTGACGACACATTAAAGTCCTCCATATCAGAGCTGATCCTGCAGCAGAAAGACAGAAGATCAGACGTGGATCTTCATGGGCGTCTGATCAGTCTGGTGGAGCTCCCGGCTCTCATTCATCTCTCAGAGGAGGAAGTGATGCGTCACTGTGTGTCTCTGTGTCATCCTGGAGTTCATGTTTTACTCCTCATAGTTCCTGAAGCTCCACTCAATAATGAAGACAAAGCAGAAATGGAGAAGATCCAGAGGATATTCGGCTCCGGAGTCAACAAACACATCATGATCCTCATAATGCAGACTTCAGCAGAGCTCAGTGAAGGAACACAGTCTGTCATCGAGAGTTTTGGAGGACGACAACAATGTTTTGGTCCCACCACACAAGTGTCCACATTGATGGAGAACATTAAGCAGATGGTGGAAGAAAACGGAGGAGAGTTTTTCTCTACAGAGACATTTCTGGAGGCGCAGATGAAGAAACTGCTGCAATTTGAAGAGATGAAGAAGAAACTCGACTCACAAGAGACAAATTTACTGTCACAAGGTAATGACCAGAAAAATGTAAACTAAACTAAACTCTTAAACTAAAAAAATCAATTCTAGATGGGACATTTAATAGAATCGTTTATGTGGTGTTTTGTATTTTACAACAGTAGAGGTGAATTCAGAACTTTCTAAATTAAAAATAAAACATTCTGACTGTCCAAAAACAAGGTCAAAGATCAAGCTTAGAGGGATAGTTCACCAAAAATGTAAATTTTGTATTCAGTATTTACTCTCCCTCATGTTGTTCAACCCCGTAAGACCTTTGTTCATCTTCCGAACACAAATGAAGATATTTTTGATTAAATCTGAGAGCTGGATCACTTCTCAAGATAGTTCACATAGTGTAACAGCGCAGCGCTTCTGTGTTGTACGTCACATGTAGGCTTACTATTGCTATATGAATGAAATGGACAGTAAATAGAAAAATATATAATATTATAAAACAATGTACACTATTTTAATGTTGCTGTGAGACAATGTAAGAGAAATCTATTAACTTAAATATTAAAATAGTATCATTACTATAGTGGAACAACAAAACACAATAGATGAACTGCACAGCACAACTGGCCGACAAATAAGTTGTGTAAAAAAATGTGCTTCTTAAGAAATGTATAAAAAATAATAAATAGTCATCAAAGGTTATTTAAACCAAATTCTAGTCGTGTTTGCCGCAGGTGTTCACAACTGGTGTTGTGTCGATTTTTGCTGCCTTGTCGAAAAATGCTACCGTAGCGCGAATTGATCACAGAATCACGATTAAAGTCGTATGAAATACAATTATAATACAATTCTAAGTTATGAGTAGCTACTGTATACTGTAGAATACTGTTTTTATTTTTAGACCGGTGTGAAAAGTAAAAATTATCATAAAATATTCATCTTTGACTTGTCAAAGTACACCTAGTAACTGAAACTTTCAGTTATTCTTTTTCAGCTGGCTGACTGTACAAATATTCATATGGTAGTAAGCCTTTTTTAAAGGGAAATTATACATTATAAATAGGGCTGCACAATATATAGCACGATATGTTATGTGCACCTAATTAGTAAAGCCGGTTCCTTGATTAGTAGTAAATCACCTTCACCTGCTTTCAGATGGAGCGGCATTTACTACAAAGAGCCGTAGATCACTGACAAGCTGAGCCAAATCGCGTTAATATCGAGGACGTATCGATAGCGATATTTAATGCGATATGGCTCAGCTGGTCCGTGAACTACGGCTCTTCGTCACGACAAAATCTCCCGTGTTAAATTAACACACCTGGGAGTGTATATGAGTCCACACTCCAGAGTGTTAAAGTTAATGAGATAATTAAGTGATTAAATGAGTGATGATTGAGCATTATTGAAGACACCTAAAGCAGAATCACAAGGAGAAAATATGAAATTGTAAGCCACCGTTATGGAGATCAGTGTTTGCTTTAGTTGGGCTCTTGACCCTTTTAATTGTAAACTTTATATTTATATTTACTGTTGTATCTGAGTTGTATCAGTCAGATGAACAAAGATATACAATTATAATATGATGTTGGTTACATAATGACTTTCATCATTTAAAATTTATGTCTGTGATTTATTCTGTTGGTTAGTGTATAACTGAGATTCTGCATAAACATCCAGAATGTTAAATAAAATATAATGGATTTCTCAAAAGTTGTTAATTAGGAAAAGTAAATTACATAGACAATTCAGATAATAATTTATTCATACCGCAATGCATGATGGGAGCCATTAATGAGTTGTGATTGGTGGCAACAAGGATTATGTTGTCACCACAGTTGAGATTCACAGGCTGATTATTGATGTCTGTGTTTCTGAATAAAGATGACAGTGATTTGATCGGAATATTTTTTATTAAATATTTTAGCTTATAAGAAAAATATGGAAAGACTGTAGAATCACTATATTGTTGCTAACAAGTTAAACCAATTCATCAGAAAAGTTTCATTTTACAGATCACAGCATGATTATGTCAAAACATAACCAACACTATCAGATCACAGTTGCCTTTGTCCGTTTGACTGTTATAAGTCAATATCAACAGGCAAACAAATTTTAAAGTGAAAGTATAAGGTCTCCATAACACTGATCTCCATAACGGTGGCTTACAATTTGTGATTTTCTCCTTCAGTGATTCTGCTTGTGATCATCAGGTGTCTTCAATAATGCTCAATCATCACTAAATTAATCACTTAATTATCTAAATAACAGTTTAATTTAACACTCATATCATCCATTTGAAAGCATGTGAAGGTGATTTACTACTAATCAAGGAACCGGCTTTACTGATTAGATGCGCATAACAATATCGTGCGATATATCGCCCAGCCCTAATTATAACAGGAAAATATACCTTTTATTAAAAAAAAAAAAAACTGTGAGTCTGCACATGCGCATAACCGTTAAGTAGCAAATCTCGATGGGTAGCATGAATCGTCAGAACACCGGTGAAGTAAAGATGTTTTCTGGGAACGTTCCCTCCAGGCTGTTCTTGTTTTATTTTATAACCATTTAAACAAATTAAGACACTGCAGATGGTACCAACATGCTACAGAGATTATTCTAATGCTAAAATGTGTACTTTATTTATTAACAATTATGCTCAGACACACTCAGTCTCTCTCACGCACTATCGCACGCTCGGGCTGCTTCCAAATTCTCTCACTTATACTACGCCCTGAAAGTATGTCCCCTTTAGGCAAGCTTTGGAATATACTACTTCGTCATCTTTAACGGACAGATCAGTCGCATGCATCCTGTCACTGTAAACTGACCTGTCAATCATCTCATCACAGTTAAAATCCTCCATTCAATCTATAACATGACATCATGACTTTTACGTAAACATACACACCACTTTCAAGTCAAATGGCGTGTTATCTCTACGCATTGAGCCATCTGCGTGTATGTCTGCACCGTCAAATGTCCAAGCGAAACGAAGCAAAATGTAGATCTACATCTGGGGAGCGATATTTTTTTTCCTAGGATGGTAGGGGAAGACTCATAAATGCCATTAACCCCAGTGACGGGGTTGGGGTAGGTCATATATTTATATATAGAGTAATGTAACGTTGTAGCTGTCTACCTATTCACTCCTAGTAAGACAAGCTACAAGATAATTTTGAGAGGGGGAACCCACAGGCCAAACTTGATGAGATATATAATGCGTGAAGAAACAGTTGAAAGATAAACCTAAATACTCCAATATACATACACGCCACTTTCGAGTCAGGTGGCGTGTTATCTCTACGCATTTTGAGCTATCCGCGTGTATCCGTGTTTGTCTACGCCATTAATGTCCGCGTCATTCCGCGTGTCTGTACACGCCGTCAAATCTCCAGTCATAAATGCCATTAACCCCAGTGACGGTTAAGTTCAGGGACGGGGTTGAGGTAAGTCATATCTTTTTCTTTCCTAGGATGGTAAGGGAACAGTCATAAATGCTATTAACCCCAGTGACGGTTAAGTTTAGGGACGGGGTTGAGGTAAGTCATATATTTATATATACAGTAATAACGTTAAGTCAACGGCGTTCATAAACGCACTGAAAGGCGATTATGCGTCTTGATAGCACGCCAAAAATGGAAATACGAATTGGCGTGTCATACACACGCTACTTCATGAGATCAGTCTGCTAGCTAATATAATTTCTTACCGTTTCGGAGAGAAATGGTGTCGCTCGTTCATCTGCCAGTCGGGGTCTTTCAAGCGGAGACTCTCCTCATGTGATTGCAATTTGAATATAATGATGCATTTAAAAGTTAATGTCTTACGTATCTTTACAAAAGTTCACAATGCTTCTGTAGATGCAATATAATGTAACCAACACTGAATAAATACATTTTAGTTTGGTTAGATACTGATAATTAATCACTTAAACCCCTTTATCTAAACCTCTCTACACAACGCCGGACTCGCGCGTCCTCCGTATCTGTAGTTGTTTAACGCTTTCACTTGTGTTTGTAGTTCTAACCGAATCCTCGTCCAGCGTGCGATGTGTTGTGGGCATTATCAGCCGTTAGCGTGTGCATCGATCTACACTTCAGATTCTGACTGGATATAGTAGACCATCCGGGTCTCTTTGGATCACTCATTTCAACATACTACGGTTTGGGACGTACTAATTCTATTTTCGAATACTATTTAGGGCGGATAGTATGCGAATTGGGACGTAGCATCGGTCTCTTGCTCTTGGACCCACTCGGTTTCGTTCGCTTTGGTTTTGTCCAGTCCGGCACCTCATAAACACACACACACCAGATAACATAGCAGATCCTATGGTGGAGAAGACAGAGCCTGGAAGAAAACCACTTCAGTGAGCTCAATTATATTAACGGCATATTTTATTGTCAGTAACGGTAACGGCATTGTAATGGAGGGAACAGTAATTACTCCCGATGACACACACACGATATGCGCGTTATGGGTATGGGTGAGAGCACACTCAGTCTTTGAAGGGGCTGTATGCGTGCATTGCAAGTGTTTTCCTCCTAGTTTTCCTTGCAAATTTTACAGTGAGCTTTGTAGTGGCGGTAACAATATTACTTTTAGCTTTAATGCATATAATTTTTTTAAATTATTTTCCTCTTTTACAGGTTCAACAGCGAGTAAAGATGATCTGAGGATTGTGCTGCTGGGAAAAACTGGAGTTGGGAAAAGTGCAACTGGAAACACAATCTTAGGAAGAAAAGCGTTTACAGCAGAAACATCTCAAGAGTCAGTGACTAAAGAGAGTCAGAGAGAAACATCTGACATCAACGGCCGACACGTTACTGTGATCGACACTCCAGGACTGTTTGATACTGAACTCACTAATGAAGAGATCCAGAGAGAAATCAGACACTGCATCTCCATGATCCTGCCTGGACCGCATGTGTTCATCATTGTGCTCAATTTAGGACAACGGTTCACTCGAGAAGAAGCAACATCAGTGAAGATCATCCAAGAGACGTTTGGAGAGAAATCTTTAATGTTCACCATGGTGCTCTTCACCAGAGGAGACGATCTGAAGGACAAAACCATTGATCAGTGTTTGGGAAAACCTGGATCTCCTCTGATGAACCTGATCGAAGCGTGTGGAAACAGATATCATGTGTTCAACAATAATCAGACTGGAGACCGAACACAGGTGTCTGATCTACTGGAGAAGATAGACCACATGGTGAACGCAAACGGAGGGAGTTTCTACTCCTGTAAGATGTTCAGAGAGATGGAGAGAGAAAAACAAGAACAACAGATGAAGATCCTGATGGACAGAGTCAGAGAAAGAGAAGAACTGATGAAGAAACTAGAAGAAGAAATGAAAAGAGAACGAGAGATGTTTAAAAATAAAATAGAGCAAATGACGAAAGAAAAAGAAAAACTGCTATTGAAATACGAGACAGAAATAGACAGACTGATGATCAGAAACGAGAATGAGAGGAAGAAAAGAGAAGAGGAATGTATAAAACAAGAAGAACGATATAAAACATTAATGAAAGAGAAAGAAGATCTTCAGTCTAAGCATGAAGCAGAAGAAAACAAGATGAAGATCCTGATGGAGAGAATGGAGCAAATGAACAGAGAAAGAGAAGAACTGATGAAACCGAAAGAGAGAATGAAGATGATGATGGAGGAAGAACGACAAAATCTAGAGAAAAACAGAAAGAGAAGCGAAGAAGAATTGAAAGAGAGAGATGATCGATATAAAAGAGAAATGAAGGAACAGGAGGTGCAGATGAGAGATGAAATGAAGAAAGTAAAAGAGATGTATAAAGATGAATTAAATGAAATGAGGCAAGACAAAGAGACTGTGAAAAAAGAAAAAGACAGTCTTCAGATCAGATACCACACAGAAATAGACAGACTGATGAACACAATCGAGAATGAAAGACAAAATCATGATAAAGAAAGAAAGAGAAGAGAAGAAGAATTCAATGAGAGAGAAGAACGATTTAAAAGAGAAATGAACGAGAGAGAGGAGCTCGAGAGAAAGATACGAGACGAGATGAGACGAGAACGAGAGACATTTAAACATGAAATGGAGGAAATGAAGCAAGAAAAACAAAAACTTCAGATCACGTACAAAACAGAAATAGACAGTCTGATGGACAGAATACAGAATGAACGACAGAATCATGAAAAAGAGAGAAAGAGAAGAGACAATGAATATACAGAAAGAGAAGAACAATATAAAACACGGATGAGAAGAGAACAAGAGGATTGGGACCGGCAGAAACTGGAGGAAAAGACGAGAAGAGAAGAAAGTGAGAAAAGAAGAGAGAGCGATAAACAGATTTGTGATGAACAGATAAAGGGACTGAAGACTGAAATGGAGGAAATAATCAGAGAGAAAGAGACAATGGAGATGATGATGGAGAAAGAACGACAGAATTATGAAAGTGAGAGAGAGAAAAGAGAAGAAAATGAGAAAAGAAGAGAGAGAGATAAACAGATTCGTGATGAACAGATTCAGGGACTGAAGACTGAAATGGAGGGAATAATCAGAGAGAAAGAGAGAATGGAGATGATGATGGAGAAAGAACGACAGAATTATGAAAGTGAGAGAGAAAAGAGAAGAAAATGAGAAAAGAAGAGAGAGCGATAAACAGATTTGTGATGAACAGATTCAGGGACTGAAGACTGAAATGGAGGGAATAATCAGAGAGAAAGAGACAATGGAGATGACGATGGAGAAAGAACGACAGAATTATGAAAGTGAGAGAGAGAAAAGAGAAGAAAATGAGAAAAGAAGAGAGAGAGATAAACAGATTCGTGATGAACAGATTCAGGGACTGAAGACTGAAATGGAGGGAATAATCAGAGAGAAAGAGACAATGGAGATGACGATGGAGAAAGAACGACAGAATTATGAAAGTGAGAGAGAGAAAAGAGAAGAAAATGAGAAAAGAAGAGAGAGCGATAAACAGATTTGTGATGAACAGATTCAGGGACTGAAGACTGAAATGGAGGGAATAATCAGAGAGAAAGAGACAATGGAGATGACGATGGAGAAAGAACGACAGAATTATGAAAGTGAGAGAGAGAAAGAGAAGAAAATGAGAAAAGAAGAGAGAGCGATAAACAGATTTGTGATGAAAAGATTCAGGGACTGAAGACTGAAATGGAGGGAATAATCAGAGAGAAAGAGACAATGGAGATGACGATGGAGAAAGAACGACAGAATTATGAAAGTGAGAGAGAGAAAAGAGAAGAAAGTGAGAAAATGAGAGAGAGCGATAAACAGATTTGTGATGAACAGATTCAGAAACTGAAGACTGAAATGGAGGGAATAATCAGAGAGAAAGAGATGACGATGGAGAAAGAACGACAGAATTATGAAAGTGAGAGAGAGAAAAGAGAAGAAAGTGAGAAAAGGAGAGAGAGCGATAAACAGATTCGTGATGAACAGATTCAGGGACTGAAGACTGAAATGGAGGAAATAATCAGAGAGAAAGAGAAAATGGAAAGAGAGAGACAGGGACAACTAGATGATGTAGAGAAGAGACGGAAAGAAATAAAAATAAGAGAAGATCAACAACAGATCTTTAAAGAAAAACTGGAGAGAAGTGGAAGACAACCAATCAAGGATCTGTTTCACAGACTTCATCTTCACAATAAACTAAGAGTTGCAGATGTTCTTCAGATAACTGAGTATTCATTACAGTCACATGAGTCTTGTGCTGAAGAGGAGCTGATTCAGACTTTCATACAAAAACTACTGATGATGGACTTCAGAGCAAGATATATTAAAACTACAGATGCACAACAAAAATACAATTACTCATCTGAAGATGAGGGTGATGTATTCAGTGCAATGTCTTTGTCTGATGAAGGGACAATTTGTAAATTTGAGAGAATCCACCCGATGGATGTTCAGATGGCCGCGTTTCATTATGCTGATTGTTTCCTTAAGCAGTTGATGGTCACTAAACTGTCCCAGTGTCAGTACGCTCTGCCTCTGCTTGTCCCTGATCCAGACACACAACAGATTGAGTTTCCCCTCTGGACATTCAGACAAATCAACAAGAGCTGGAAGAAGAGAAACACTGACAATGAGATCATCAGTCAAACCCAGCCGGTCTACAAGGCACAAACTCCGATGGTGTCCTTCTTCAGGTTTGGCTCTGTGTCTTCATCCAAGTCTGAGCTGATGAACAGTCTGATCAATGAGAAACACAACACGTTCTTCCACAGGGACTGTCCAGGCAGCAGCAGCACCAGAGTCCTGATGAATGGAGTGGTGGAGATCGCCTGGTTCTGCCCATCTGGGACAAATGATGATAAATTCAATCACTGCGTCGCGTTCTGTAATCTACACGGGGATGCAGGAGACCATGAGAAACAGCTGCAGATCCTCACTGAAATGACCTCAGTCAATGTTGTTCTTCTACCACAACTGGACAAGAATGACAAAAGTGCAGCAATAATACAAAACTTGTACAGGAACTCAAAGCCACTTATTTGTCTTTTTACTAAGGATAAATCAACTGTTACTGAGACACGAAAAGGAAAATACAAGATTGGTCTGAAAGACAGAAATCAGTCAGATGTATCTGAAGAACTCAGAAGAGCTATAAATGAGTGTCTCTCAGAATCATCTTCCACTTTCAGACTTGAAGATTTGTCCAAACACTCAGACATCAGAGTAGATGAGGAAGACTGCAGGAGAGGAAGAGAAGCAGCACAGCAGATGATGAGTTTACTGGAGAAGAAAGATCTGACAGAAATCAAAGACTCATTTCTGCCTCATCAGGGGAAACTGTGGCGTCAGTGGAGTCAGAAGAACAAAGAACTACATCGACTTAAAGCAGATGAGCTGGACATCAGCAGAAGACAAACAGAGTTGAATAAAATCCGTGAACAGCAGCATGAATCTGACATCAGTGAGTTTATGACATGTTTTATTAAAGAAATTAACTCACATAGTGAACATGAGAAGATGTTTTTCCTTAAATGGCTTATAATCCTCCTGGATGATTATATCTCATCTGAACTTCATGATCTACATCACAAGTATGAAACATTGTCAAAAGTCCTAAAACTGGAAGAAGACAAATCTGAATATCTAAAGGCTGAAAAAAAAGTAGAACTTGAGAGAATATCTGAGGATCTTCAAGCTGTATCCTTTGGTTTGGAGCACATCATGAGGGAGATCGGTCAGATCTATGAATCATGTTCATCTGAGAAGAAGAACAAGAAAGATCTGCCGTTTGACTCCTCTTCTCTCCCGAGTCTCGCAGCAGAGATGATGATCTCTGGGTTTCCACTGGAGCTGATGGATGGAGATGCTGCTCATGTTCCTGTGATCTGGATCTCTGCTGTTATAGATCAACTCATCCAGAAACTGGGAGATCAGACCAGAGTCTTTGTGCTGTCGGTTTTAGGGATTCGGAGCTCTGGGAAATCCACCATGCTGAACGCCATGTTTGGGCTCCAGTTTGCCGTCAGTGCTGGCAGGTGCACCAGAGGAGCTTTCATGCAGCTGGTCAAGGTCTCAGACGAGATGAAGACACAGATGAACATCGACTATATTCTGGTTGTTGATACTGAGGGTCTTCGTGCTCTAGAACTGACTGGAAGACCAAAAAATCATCATGACAATGAATTGGCCACATTTGTTGTTGGTCTTGGAAATATGACCTTGATCAATATCTTTGGAGAAAACCCATCTGAGATGCAGGAAATTCTTCAGATTGTTGTTCAGGCCTTCATGAGGATGAAGAAGGTCAGACTGAATCCCAGCTGTGTGTTTGTACATCAGAACGTTTCAGACATCACAGCTGTAGAGAAAAACACAGAGGGAAGGAGACGACTGCAGAAGACACTGGATGAGATGACAAAACTTGCTGCTAAAGAGGAAGTTTGTGATGCAGAATGTTTCAGTGATGTTATTGAATTTGATTTTCAGAATGATGTGAAGTATTTCGCTCAGTTTTGGGAGGGAAACCCACCGATGGCAACAACAAACCCAAAGTACTGTGACAATATACAAGAACTAAAGAAAACTATTGTGTCTCATGCAGAAAATTCATCTGACGTGACACTAGCACACATAAAAGATCGTATTAAAGATCTATGGAAAGCTTTGTTGAATGAACGATTTGTCTTCAGCTTCAGAAATTCTCTGGAGATTTCAGCCTACAGGAAACTGGAGAGAGAATACAGCAAGTGGTCCTGGAGTCTACGCAGTGCCATTCTGGAAATTAAGAACAAACTCCACAACCAAATAGAAAATGAAGCAATAAATGAGGTTGAGGAAACTGATCTTCAAAGAGAACTGAAGAAGACAAGTGAAGAAGTGGAAAAATCAATGTCTGAATTCTTTGAGAAAGACACAGATAAAGATATACTGATTCAGTGGAAAAATTCATTTGAAATGAAAATCAAAGATGTCCATGAAAACATTGTGAGAGAAACAAAGAGGAAATTAAATGAGATTCTTCAGCAGCGAGACCTGAAGAAAAAGATTGATGCTCAGAGGAAACATCAAGAAAACACTCTCTATGAAAAGAGCAAAGAACTTGCCTTAAAACTCAAAGACAAAGCAAAAGATGAAGAAACGCTGAAGAAAGAGTTTGATTTGTTTTGGAAACAGTGGATGAATGAGATAACCAGAGACACTCACCCGATCAAAGACATTGATATAATGAGAGACGTGAGAGAGATTCTCAGGGACATCTATGAAAGTGCTCCTGTAGACCACTTGAGGGAGAGCAGAGATATTTTCTCTGTGTTGAGTTATTCAGATTATGTTCAGTTCAAGAAATCTAGTGGAATGGCAAGTGCTTTAAGAAATGTCTACAAATCGGCTAAAGAGATGTTAGGTTACAATCTTTCTAAAGATGATGAGATTCGATCATTTGTTACAGATGTTGAACAGCAGACAGACACAATGATTCAGTCATTTAACATTTCAAAGATGGGCTACAACAAGAGCTCCATTCAACAACTCACGGGTTACATCAAGAAGAGAGTAACAGAATATCAGAAAGGACCAGTGAAATATGTGTTCAAGAATGAATTCTTCATGGATTTGGTTCTCTCCATCTGTAAGAGAGCAAACAAGATGATCACTGACCAACACAGACTGTTCAGGGAAGCTAACGATCCTTTTCTCTATTTGGAGAGGAAGAGAGGAGAGTACTGTCGTGTTTTCCAGAAATACTGTCATGGAGCAACATCAGCTGCTATTTTTGGAGAGATCATCTGTCAGAAACTCAAAGAGCCCATTGAGCAGAGTGTCAGCAAGAGGACTGCCAAAGAGCTGACAAGTGAAATGAGATCAAACTGTGAATCACTGAATGGAAACAGATCAGATCTAGAGAAACACATCCTGAAGACACTGGCAGAAGAGGAGGATTTTATCAAATACATGGACTACATTAAAAATCCCAGAGATCACTTCAAGAGTTTCATCAGAGATGAAGTCAGTCGGTACATTTCTAAAAAGTTTGATGACAGCATTAAACCCAAGATGAAGGAGAACATTGAACTCTTGAAGCAGAAGATCATGAAAGCAGCTCATGAATCTACTGAACATGTTCAAGAGAACAGAGGAGATGTTAAAGTTAACAGTGGAGATGCTAAAGTTAACAGTGGAGATGTTGGATTGTGGTTGAAGAGTTTTACACAGAGGCTCTCAGATGTGCTGATCTTCTCTGAAAAAGATCTCAGTGGCGTCAAACATGATGATGTTGATGATTTCAAGGTCCTAGAAGATGTGTTTAGAAAGGAACTTCCAGGAGTAATTTCTGATATAAGAAATCATTTCAATGACTTTCTTTGGAAGCTGGACTATAAGTTCAGGCCAGATGAGCTTCTGATTGATCACTTCTGTCAGTGCTGTTGGGTTCAGTGTCCGTTCTGTGGAGCCACCTGCACCAACACCATAGAGAACCATGATGGAGATCACAGTGTCCCTTTCCATCGTATTAATGGACTCAATGGGTTCTATTACGAAGGAACACAACATTTGTGTACAGAGTTTTGCTCAACTGTAGTGACCAGTTCTAAAACCTTTAACTCATCAGGTCAGTGGTTTCCATATAAAGAATACAAAAAAGCAGGAGGAGTGTTTGCTAACTGGAGCATCACCCCTGACCTCTCTGATCTGCCCTACTGGAAGTGGTTTGTGTGCAGATTCCAGAAAGATCTGGAAAAACACTACTGTAGAAAATTTGAAGGGAAAGGTAAAATACCAGAATTTTGGAGAAAGTGCTCAAAAGAGGATGCAATTAAAAGTTTAGATGAAAGCCACACTTTGAGAAAAAGGAACTAGTATGTTTCAGTGAGTTCAAAGAGTTCAAGAGGTTAAATAAATAAAAACCAAGAATATCGAAACCGTTTTGAGAGAAGCTAAGTTTAAAAGAAATTTCAGCAATACCTGGAGATTTAGATTGATTATCAGAGGAAACATCATGAAAACATTTTCTTTCAAAGACAAAGAACTTGCCTTCCAAAAAAAAAAAAAAAAAAAAAAAAAAAAAAAAAAAAAACAAGTGACAAAGAAACAAAGAAGAAACAGTTTTATTCTGTTTGTAAACAGTTAGTTGCAGCAATCATTAAAAACACTCATTCACAGCAAAAAGGCCAGTGTTAAATGAACTCTCCTGGGAGTTTATTTGAGACTTCACTCAAGAGTGTTAAAGTGTTCAAATAATTGACCCTTCGCTAAGCCCCGCCCTCCCTAGTTACTGTTGCTACGCCTGTCAAGCTTTCGCGGCTGGCCCATCTATTATAGTGTGGATGCACCCGGTGTCAGACATTTCAATGAGATAATTAGTAATTTTCGGCGAACAAGTGAATTATCTGAGAGAGCAAGACAAAAGGGACTACAGTATGCATTCGAGGGATATATTTACGATATTATATGCAGCCGATTAGAGAATAATTTCTTAAGAAGTTAAAGCCTAACGTTATAGTCCCAGCGCCTCATACGCTGACCGTTCAAATGGGAAGCACAAATTGAAGAACAGCTATGTTCATACACAGCAGGGTATGTGAAAATAATCTTAATAATTATAAATCAAACAGCTGATCAATAAATCTTGTGGAATAACACTAATACTGGGAGAGCCGCGATCGGATTGGGTTAAGTTAAGGGGTAACGTTAGTAGGACGTCGATTAACAAAATGCTGAAATATATTTCAAAGTATGTCAGTGAGCCTTTGTCTTGTCTCTTTAATCGTCTTATTTTAAGTTATCATTATGACCAAAGAACCGTCAATATTTCCAAGCAATAGGTGTTTTTGTTAAGCATGGGTCTCGCACATAGACGCAAGATCACGCCAATCATTTCCCCCTTGGCTTTTAGATTTTCTGGAAGGAAAACAATTCCTCTCCCCTGTCCAATCATTTAGTATAACGTTACCGGTATCAGATTTGCACAATCCATACGCACAATGCTTCAGCATGTTTCCCTCGTTCGAAAGCTTGCCAGACCTCCCGCGCATAGTTACGGTTGCTAAGACATGATTGGCCACTGGCGGTTTTCGGGCGTGGCTTAGCGAAGGGTCAATTGTTAAGTGTTAAACAGTGTTAATTGAACTGAAGCAGTGTTATGAGAAGTCAATGAGATAATTAAGTGAATAATTGAGTGATGATTGAGCATTATTGAAGACACCTAGCCCAATATAACATAGTGAATACATGTAAAGAGATTTTACTGTTATAAAAGGCAGATTTGAGAGCATTAGTGGAACTGAATGCGTTCTAATAAACACAAAACGCAGGATCGTTGTCATGTGGTGGATTCAGCCAATCGTGGAAAAGCTGTGTCGTCGATAGAGCTTGTGCAGCCGCATTCGAGAATCTGCGCTGGCTGAGTCCTGCGGCTAGAATCCCTTTTGCGCTTCTTTGATAGCATACGTCACAGTCATGTGGCGTCAGCGCTGTCTCAAATCGGACACAAATTCTAAACGGCATACACTGCTTCAAATAAGCCATTGATCGGTCTGCACAGCGTCAACCAAGCCTATTAACACTCTTGAGTGTCTCAAATAAACTCCCAGGAGAGTTCATTTAACACAGTTAATTTAATGGAGTTTTTGCTGTTCAATCTAAAGCCCTATTCAAATGGGATCATTATTACCTGGTGACCTCTAGTCATTTAAGTTTGTCTGTGATCTTAACCCCGTGTGAATCTGCCATGTCTGTAATTTGTAAAGTAAAAATTCCCCCGCAAATGACCTACTGTATTTGGCCGAACGCATCCTGTGGTAATATTAGTCCTGACTCCTGTGTGAATCGGCATCTTTGTGATTTGACTGGGATCATATATAATTTTTTTAAGGTTTTTGATCTTTTGCGGAGAATGGAGGTGTTGGAGTGTTTTAATGGTACTTTGGGTGCTGGCCTGGGTCATGGCGCTACACACCAATACAGCGACACGATTTTTTTAGAAAGAGAAAGCTGAAAATCATCAGAAGAGCAAAAACAAAAGGAACGATTAGATGGAAATGAATGACATGTATAGTGCCAATTTATTCAGAATATGTTATTTTTATTTAAAAAAAATGTTTACAGTGTGGTGTATGTTAAATTGTTTGTATTCAGATGTATTATTCAATTTATACATTTGATTGATTTATTTTATTGATTATTCTTTATACATTTTTATTATTATTTCACATTGTATTCTTTAATCATTTATATATTTTCTATATGCTCTGCTATTTTAAATATTTCCAAATGAGATGGTGTATTTTCCATCAACATTGTTTATGTGATGTACCCTCATATTCATATCAAAATATGTCTGTTTCCATCTCTGCACACAATAAATTTCAATATTAACTATTATTTACTTGATTAATTGGTTTGTCTCTATAATTTTACATTTTTACTCAATAAATGTACTATTCCTTATTCTCTTTGACATATTCATTGCTTGTCTGTCTAGATGTCATTGCACCAGGAAACTCACAATTCACGATTATATCATGATTTTTTCATGTTGTTTTGACTAATTTGCAAGTGACTGAACAACAGCCAAACTAATTTCCCTATTTTTTTTTTTTTTTTTATAAATGTAGCCTAACAAGGTAACAAAATATAAATTAAAATCTAATCACAGGCTAAATTAGGGTGAAAATGAACATCTTTATTTAATTATTTTTTCTTTGTTATTAAAAGTAAGAACAAAGATGCACATTACAAATATGATATAATATATAAACTAAATAAACAATGCTTTATTTTTCCACAGAATCCACTGCAGTGTTTAATGAACACTCTTCAGTGTATGTGTCCACATTACAGAGTGTTATAAATAACACTGAAGTAGGCTAGTGTTAGGCTATGTTTACACAAAACCACCCTAGAATGATAAAAATCCATTAAAAAGCCATCTCAATAAATCATATGCACTGCCTCAGAACGAGCTGTTCTAAGATTCAGCGCTTTGTGACGTAGAAAGTGAGAAAGGGGTTTGATTGACAGTGTGGTTGTGGCATAGAACCCGCCCTCGGTGATCTGTACATCCTCCATTGTTTCAACGACAGCCGGTAATGTCTCTTGGAAACATAAATGTTCTGTCGTGGACTCGTGGGTTAATCCTGTTGTTGTGGATTAAAAGTTAATCCTCAACTGTTAATCGTCATCTACTGTTTGCGATCCAACGTCACCTCCAGTAACAGTAAGTGTATTTTATGATTTTTGAGCAAATAGTAATTTCAGTCGATGTCAGCCAATTCAACAACAAATGCGTCTAAAGTTGTTGTCATCGTAGGATGTCTGTGTATATAATTTAAACCTTGTTTGTACATTTATAAATATATATGTGTATATATTTAAAGATATTGTATTAAAAACTGGATATATGTTGTTGTCCTGAAGTTAGCCATCTCCTCACATTTGCCACAGAAGCACCTGTATGACAAGTAAACATGACGCCACAGGTCCCTCGCATAAATGTAATTTCACGTGTACGTAGCAAACTTTATCACAGTATGTGTATGTAGTTTAAAAAAGTTGCACCAGCGTTAGAGTTTGTGTGTGTCTGTGTGTGTGTTGCTCATCCATAATTGCAAATGGGACGTGATTACAACTCTATAAGTACATAAATGTATGAAATAACCATACCGAGACGTACTGGTCCATTCTCATGTGTTTATTCTGCCGGAGTCTCTTCGTGCTATTTATTTATTCCGATTCAAACGTACGCTGAATGACATTCAAAACAGCGGTTTCTCTCACTCTTTCAGTACCGACTGCCATAGGTATCAAGTTACGCCCTCATCCAAAGGCAGGGCGGGGATATGCAGCTAATTTGCATTTAAGGTGGTATACCCCCGAAACAGCTCATTTTTAAACAGGCCCAAAAATGACATTTTCAAATGGTTATAATAAATTAACTGTGGGGTATTTTGAGCTGAAACTTCACAAATATATTCTGGGGACACCCGAGACCAATATTACATCTTGTAAAAAGGGGCATAATAGGTGCCCTTTAAGTGATTAATTTAGTGATGATTGAGCATTATTGAAGACACCAGATGATCACAAGCAGAATCACTGAAGGAGAAAACCGGAATTTTTAAGTCACCATTATGGAGATCAGTGTTTGCTTTAGCTGGGCTCTTGACCCTTAAAATCATTAACTTTATATTTTGTTTGTCTGTTGTTATTGATTTATAACAGTCAAATGAACAAAGAAAAGTGTGATCTGATAGTGTTGGTTGTGTTTTGACATAATCATGCTGTGATCTGAAAAATAAAACTTACTGAGATTAGTTTAACTCATTTGCAAAAGCTTTGTGATTCTACAGCATATGATAATCATTATTTTATTTTTCTTATAATAATTAATAAACATTTTTCTGATCAAAACACTTTCAAATGCATTTATTTAGAAACACAGTGATCAATAATCAGCCTGTGAATCTCAACCGTGGTGACATTAATAATCCTTGTTGCCACCAATCACAACTCATTAATGGCTCCCATCATGCATTGCGGTATGAATAAATTATGATCTGAATTGACTATGTAATTTAATTTTCCTAATTGAATATTCTGCTCATCACCGTTGTTGAAATGCATTGACTGAATCTTGAGGAACCTGTGTGTGCCTAAAGGAAAGATTTTTTTTATTTATAACAACTTAAGAAATCCATTATATTATATATAAAATGCTGGATATTAATGCAGAATCTCAGTTATACTGTAACCAACAGAATAAATAACAAACATGAGGTTCAAATGATGATTGTCATAACATAACCAACATCATTAGATCACTTTTTTCTTTGTTCATCTGGCAGGTATAACTCAGATACAACAGCCAAACTAAATCTAAACTTAATAATATAAGGGTGAAGAGCCCAACTAAAGCAAACACTGATCTCCATAACGGTGGCTTACAATTTTAGATTTTCTCCTTGTGATTCTGCTTTGGGTGTCTTCAATAATGCTCAATCATCACTCATTTAATCACTTAATTATCTCATTAACTTTAACACTCTTGAGTGTGGACTCATATACACTCCCAGGTGTGTTAGTTTAACACGGGAGATTTCATCGTGACGAAGAGCCGTAGTTCACTGACCAGCTGAGCCATATCGCATCAAATATCGCTATCGATACGTCCTCGATATTAACGCGATATGGCTCAGCTTGTCAGTGATCTACGGATCTTTGTAGTAAATGCCGCTCCATCTGAAAGCAGGTGAAGGTGATTTACT